CATCTTCGTTGTTCTGTTCAATGCAATAGCTGTTTTGTTTCACTTTAAAAGATATTGGAATGATAATAGTGATCGTTTATTCATGAAACTGGTCGTTGTGGTATCACTGGATAGAATGTGATTTAACTGATGGATTGAAGTGATTTTTACCGAATATTCCTAGTGATTTTGATGGATGTTATCAGTAACTGATGCATTGATTCAGTTCAATTTAACTCTGCCATCACTAACAACACTTGCACAATTGCTTTCTGCAACTTCTGATTGACTTATTTGAAACACGATGAGAAATATGTCGTATTTTTTATCAGTCATTTTTGTCAGATAAATAACAGTTTCCAAATTATCGATGGCATTCGTTTTACGAAAATTCTGGTAAAAGCGTTATTGGTATTTAGCTTAAAAGAATAATGTTAGGTTGGAAAGATGACATGCATCTTTATCAGTAACACGAAAGTAAGTCTTTTTCAATGTCCTCTTCATCGATGCACTCTTATCTCAAGTTTTTCATCATCTGCCGATAAGCGGAAAATATTTAGAATCGCCTGAAATAGACTTTAAAGCACTAACTCTCAAATCCCTATCAAATGCATAAGGAGGAGTTTCTAATTGAATCGACGTAGAAAAACATTTGAAATGAGATACTAAAATTATGTAATAAACTGTTTTGAATCAAATTACAAGCATTTCCAAAAAATGTCGAAATAGTTGCGTGTTTAATGAATGTAAGTGACGATATAATAGACTAATCCGTCTAAGAAATGGCTCATTTTTTCAGCAAATGTCAAGAAATCAAACAATTCTGTTCAGGTTTCCAAGCAGTCATTTCATTCAGCTGTTCTGGTGAACGTGATTGAAGAATTGTTCTTCAGTTATCTCGATGAATCGTATGGCTGATTCTTTTACCTGTTCAGTGTAATTAACACCTTGTCAATTTTGATTAACTTTTCATTCCGAAAAACAAAAGTCTTGTAGAGATGAGATGCAATGTCTTCATACGGCTTCAATCGACGATCGAATGAATAAGATAAATGCGCAGCATGCATAATGCCGCACCCTAAGGTTGCTCAAATGAATGATAATATTGTGTTGTATTATTGTAATTTTGCATTATAGTAATTAACAAATGATGACGTCTGTTGTAGTTTTATGCACTAACAAATGATATTTTTGAGAAATGTATACCAATAGTTCGAATAATCACTCATTAATTTGTAGAAAAGGAAATTCAAGTGCAGAAATTAATTTGTTGATTTGACTGAGCATATTCATAACGATTAAGAGTGTTAGATTATGAAATGGAGCGATGTATGTGTGCACATAATGGGATTGGGTTTGGAGAGGTATGATATGATGCAGCTAACTGATAGCGTCATATGTATGCGTCTTTGCATTGATGCTGCTTCTTAGTGCTGTTGAGTCATTGGAGGAGTAACGTCATTCAAGTTGGTTCGTGATGATAGTGTGGCGTGAAATAATTTGATCGTGCTTGTTTATGCCTGACAGATTATTCATCAAGTGGTACGATAAGGGTTTGAAGGGAAGCGACATTGATTGGGTGCATGTTTTCGGTCGGTTGCTTCTTAATATAGCTGACGATATTGCACATGATACTGATTTCACATATACAAAGACTTTAAATGTTCAACACCCATGCAATCACTTATTCAGTCTCATATACAATTTTGAGGCAATTCAGTTCAACATTGGCCGCATTCATTACTCATTTAGTTCACTATCGCTTCAAGAACACAAGTGAAGAGAAGATCAACATTTCATGCATATGCAACAATGAAATATAGTTATGTATTATGATATTGAATTTTATCAAAGTATCACATTCATTCCAGCAGTATGAAATTAACAGCAATTGGTGCATAGTAAGAGCAATATAACAATAAAGAAATCACTACTTTCACAGATAGTTGAAATGAAATCAACGATTAACACTCACACAATGCAGCTTCACATAATCAGTCATCACTAGTAGCATTCAGCCATCGTGGTTTTGTGGTTGTGGATGATGGTGATGATGATGAAGTTATAGTTCTTTGTGGTTGTCGTGAACACTGGCAACTGATATCAGAGGAAACGAAAGGAAAGGTGGGAAGGAACGGAGCACTGAGTTTTGCTACTGGGCTGCCTTGGTTACACGCTTCGACGACTAGTGGCAGTGTTGAGTTGTCGGCCATCATCATTTTCCACTCATGCGGCGGTCATCTCAACACTGCCGTCGATTCACGTCGTCTAATGTCATTTACTCTGCTGTTGCTTCTGCCACTCTTCGTTCCTTGTTTCGTCGTTCGTTCGTTCGTTCGTTCACATTCCTTTCCGCCACATCATCAGTTGCAGCTTCCTTCTTGTTCTTCCTATTCTGGAACTTTTTGAAACGGCCAGTTCTTCTCTTCACTTTTGTTTGCAGCGCTGCCTCAGTGGGCGCATCTAATGCCTACCACTTGTGGCTTTCCAAATTGCAAATTTCGATCTCGCTATCGGGGCCAAGAAGACAATCGTCATTTCTATCGCATTCCTAAACGACCACAGGTGCTGCGCCAACGTTGGTTGCACGCTATTGGCCGAACTGAAGAGACTGTTGTAAGTCAGGTTAGTGGTGTATTAAGTGGCTTGTTGCTAAAGTTTAAAAACAAATCCAAGTTGCTTTCTATATTTGTTCAGATATTTATTGAATGAATTCGTCGCTTTTTTGCTATGCAATTATTGCTTTGCTTTATTATTGTGATGTAATGTATGTTATTTGCTTAATGTTATTTATTGCACGTTTTATATGAAACATAAATAAGTGAATTTATTTGTATGTATGTTCTACGATTTTTTAGTTTATGCGCTTTTGATTGCGCTTCAATGCTTTGTCAACGCACACACATTCACTGTGAAGCAGATGAGTTGTTCCTTTAATCTTGCTAATATTTTATTCTCAATTAATTTACTCATTCGCTTATGATGGATCATCATTTTTCGTTTCAATATCTTTCATCCATCAACGCTAGTGCAAATCCACAAAAATCTAGATGTTTGCTAATCATTCTATAATAATTCATTGAAAGCAGTTGCATTCATGCAAACGTTTTTCATGCTGGCATACATATTTTTATATCTTGGACAGCGATCCTTCCACTTTTACTATTCTCATCTATTCAGTCCATCCATTAGTTACCTACTTGGGTTTTTGTTTTATGTTGGTTCATATGAAAAGAGAATACGAGGTGCAATATGCCTATACCTATAAACATCTTGAGTTTTGTTCTGTCGCATTATAATTCATGAATTGTAGCTTGGTTCGGTTGCATTTTCTAACGTTTTCGGCGTTCTTATTCTTTTCTGAGATGCATCCTTATTCGAGTCAATGCATCTTTTGTTTATGATAGAGTGATGATCTGGGACGTGTGCTCTTTGTTTGTTGTTGGCCATATTTGAAATCGCTCTAACGCAACAAAACAAACAACTCATCTTCTCCATGACTGGCTGACAACTTCGGCTTATTGTAATGGATAAACACACCCTTTCGCTTATGGTTCGTCTTACGGTTTGTTGCTTATGCGTTTCGTTCAGTAAAGAACCACTTCGTACAGATATGTTCTTGCCCATATCCATACATATGCTGCTATCATCAGCATATCGCCAACATTTTTCACTATTGACAATCACTGCATGTGATAGATATCTTATCGTGATATAATCACCGAACATCATTTCCACTCTCGTTAACGTATGTTGTAGTCGAGCACAAAAAATACTAAGAATTTTGAGAGATTTATCGCTGACTTTGCGTTTTGCAATTATTAATACCTCTAAAGCTGATGGCATTTACTGACATACTTTTTGAGATGGCTCAGCTGAAAAAAAATGCTTTCATAACGTTGATATGTCGTAGAGAATGCGAGTGGTGCAGTTTTTCAGTTCAGAACGGCAACTTTTTTGCGTTACTGGAAGATATTTATTTCAAAATACCAACAGAAGATGACTGATAGTTACTTATTTATTTATTTGAATTTTTTGTTTTGGTTTCTTTGAGAATCAAATAAATTGCATCAGTCCCGAATATAGCAATTATTTAAGCATAAAGTAGAGCTATAAATGAGATCATGAAAACAACTTCCGTCTAATCGACATTTCCTCACTAATGATTTTGATGTAAAACTTTTTCTGGAAGCTCGACTTGCTGTTGTCTTCTTGAATTCGCAGTTGAATCAAAATGTTTTAAAACTTCTCTTAGATTATTCTAATCTGCATCCGTGCTTCTTTCCTGGCATATCACTGCCAGTTCTATTCACGATAAAAACGTTATTCATGAATTTCTGAGAAGTGCATCCCATCTGTGCCCTGAACGTGTCTTTTTCGGTTCCATGATACATCCAACGATTTTTACTGGTTTTGTAAGAGTCATCCCTTCCATTGTCAGGTATCCATCCGCAATTCGTATGTTAACCTCTACTTGTCACAGTCAAAACTGCGGTGAAAAGATTGACTGGCGATTTTCCTACAGATCTCAATGGTTCCGGTGCAATTGTGTGCAGAGGAATTGCAGGTTCTTCTTGAAACTTTTAACCAAAAGAACCTTCTTCCTTTGACAAACTAACTCTATTGCTAGTTGTGCATCATGGCATTTCTTCGTTTTGCTTTTAGAAGTGTTATTACCTTAATTCCGCTGTTATGCAGCCGATGTTTTTGTTTGTATCCGTCATAATTCACCTATATATTACTNTCACGCTTTCACCAAACTTTTTTTTCGCTGTTGAAGTTCATTCGTTGTTGCTTCTTGATAATATCAAACAAACGAAATGGTGATAGTTGTTATATTAGAACGTGAAGTTAAGTTGCTTAGATGGTTGCGACAATTGGTTTCGCTTCCCTAAAGAATGTTGAACTAAAATGCATGAAAGTAGCTTGGCATGAGCGCTTATCAAAACGATAGCTTTAAAGCACATATTGCAAGTTGTTGTTCAGGAATAGAACCGTTTGATGCAGTCAGCATTATGGTTCTTCATCTATTGCACATCGGAGAAATTTGAAAACAAAACAAAAAAAAAATTAACACCGTTACTCCTATTAACTTTCCCGTACGAAGTGCTAAGAAGTTGATTTTTTTTTGTTCGGAAGCATGCAAACACTATGAAATTCGCAACTTGTCATCATCAACTCAGCAGAAGTGATTCGATCTGATAACTTTCAGGAATGTAGGCAAATGTTCGTTTCTTCAGAGAAAGTCATTACTGAAGAGGATGGTTAGTAGGGGTGACAGTATTGAAAGGCAGCCATATCCGAGCACATTCATCGTTTGAAAGATATATCACGACCACATAAGCACTCGTCAATAACGCTTTAAAACTAATCACCAGTATATTACACCAGTACTTCACAAACCTGTTTTGGTGATGACTTCTTGCCTAAACAAGACTCAATGAAAAAAATTTTACCATTAATGACCCATCCATCCTTTGAGTACCTTCTCAGACTTCAGATTCCTGTCTTCAGTTTGATTTGCGCTACCTCCGGGAAAACTGTAATCATGGTTTTGTTAGTGCATTTCATGAAGGAAGTTTCCTTTTGCGCTTTTAGAGCTGTATAAGGGAAATTGAATGAAACTTGTTTAAAAGGAAGAAAATTTTAATAAATTGAGTCTTCCGGGATTTAAATTGTCATATTTTACTGATAAAAATGTTTCATACTGCTTCTCTTTTTTTTCTCCCTCATTCATTTTATAATTAATAATAGTTGTCATGAACAATAGATACAATGTTTGAATGTAATGTTTTTTTTGTTGACAATTCACTCGAAAAGTTTAAAAATTAGGTGCCGTTTGATTGAAATGTCTCTTAGCACATATCAGTTGGGTTTGAATAATGAATCAGACGAGAATGTTACTTGAAGAAAAAATAAATTGAGCGAGAAGGAAAGAAGAGCTTGTGATATTGCTTGTTTGTTTGTTTGTTCGGTGAGGATAATGCCGTCGTTGGACTGATTGATTGCAGATGTGATGGTCGCTTGATCGCGAAACCGAACCTCGTTTCTACTCTCACTCTCACAGCACTGAACCAATCCTCTGATTCTGATTTTGAGTCGTTCGATTCCATCCCATCTGATTCTGATTCATTCGCTATCTTCACTTTTCCTTCTGGTAAGAATGCTTTGACTCTCAATCCTCTGCTATAAACACTTAATTCTTCTTCAATTAAATCAAACGCCAACCTCTCCTCAACTGTACATGTATTTTTCATTCAATCAGTATGATTGCTCTGATGTCTTCATTTTATGCACCAATCTCATATTTGGTTAAAATTGATCTATCAAGCATTTACAGTAGCTGTTAGTCACTCAAATTAATTTCGAAGAACGCAGTTTCGATGCTGCTTCCAAAAAATATCTTTGTGCTTGCGAAGTCGATGCGCACAAGGATTTTCGACATAGAGCATGTCATCTCATCATTAGGTTATCGTTGATAGTCGTCATGTGCTCATTGCAAACAAATCGCCCTTTTATTGAAAGCATTTATTAATAATCAACGTACGGTGTTTGATTGACATACTCTGGTATTTTTTTAAATACCTTACTTTCATTCATACATCAACAGACTCTCTTCTAAACCCTGATGAATCGAATAGTTACATTGATGAAATCAGATCCTGTTCATCTGTAATGTTCTTCAGATGTTTTCCCGTCATTGATAATGCTTTATGATAGATATACGCCATTGAATGAAATTATTGTTGTTGCCACCGACTGAAATTATATTATTATTATTGATGTTATTTTTGCATATTCAATTGTAGTAATGAAGTGTTTTGCAAAATGATCCGTGTTCAACTCGTTTAACATTGACGTACGCACACACTTTGTATGGTTGTTTTCAATTGGGCGTTCGCATAGACTTATTTGTATGGTTTTTCATTTTTCTTTCATCAGCTCGTGTATGACCTTCAGCATCCAATCGTTGCTGTCAGTATGAATCCTGCTTGTGTTTTTAAATGACATTTGCACTGATTCTTTAAAACGAATTGTATTCTCATTATCATGTCATATTTTATTAACTTTCAATTTGAGTATTATTGCAAGTAAATGCATCCGAACATAAGCACTTACACTCTATAGTTCCTATAGTGATCAATTAATTTCGAATTAAAAGAAATATGTTGTTCTCGTACAAACGTTTTTCTCCTCGAAGTTATGTTCGATGTGCAGCATCTTTTCTTGTTCATAAATTGTTTTCCATGATACTCTTTACTTCGTTTCATGATACTCTTAACAGTTACAACGTTATGATAATAATTTCTGTGTTTTTGTTGATCAGTGTTGTTGCATTTTTACCGACGAGATATCGAAATGTACAGATGTAAATATCCGCCAAAAGCTCCCTTGTTACCTTAGAGGCTTAGATGTAAACTGGCTGAACGAAAAGAGCAGCAGAGTCTTGAGCTGAGAGGTGTGAATTGCATTAGGTGAGAGAAAGAAATTTACTAAACGGCACATAAAATTTTGAGCACCTGTGTCAAAGTCTCATTTGCATTTGTGTGTTTTTTATACCTTTGACCAGCTGAATGAAGAATACTTTACCTGTGAGCCATTTTACTGTGCCTTTTTTGGAGGAGGCAAGCAAAGACATAGAGTTGGGAAAGAGGAGGGAGGGAGGGGAATGGGACGCGAAAACTTGAGAGAAAGATGCTACCGCTCTATGTTATGCGTATTGTATAATTGTACAAAAAAAATGTATAAATGGATCTTAAAATGGTAGACGTATTGTTGAAAAATGAACGATGTGGTGCATCATCAATAAATGGTTTAAAGGAATGATCGCGAAGAAGCAACGAACGAAACTGTTATTAAAACAATTGTTGTTTATGAATGATGATGCAATTGTTCGATTACAGTCATCTCTTTGCATTAATTTTAATCGCTTTTTGAAATGTATTTCAGTCCCCGTTCGAAAGCGTCCATTCAACAACTCGTTTCGTCTTTTTTGTTTTCCTTATTCTTCTTTTTCCTTAACTCATAATTGTTTTAATTCATGGTTCACAAATAAATAATATAGGTAGATCATTGATGCATCTAACTATAAGAAAATTGTTCCTTATAAATAATGATTTGGATGCTGAAATGAAAGAGAGGAAGAAAGGAAATGAATGAAATTTTAAAGAAAAATAGTGGCTGGTATAAGTGAATGTGTTTGAATTCGATTGAGTATAAATGTGATTATCTTGGGGATGAATTTATTTGTGCTTTTCGACGACTATTTTGGGAAGAAGTGATAGATGAATGAATCAATGGATGAGTAATATGAAGTGGGAATTATAAATGATGAATATGCTCTTCACTCTGTTTGCAATGAAAAACGAAAGGATCGTATTTGGTGCTTTTATAAGTCAAGTTTTTCGATGAACTCAATCAATGGTCATCGATATCTAGAGAAGTTTAGTTGATGAAATGAGCACATCTTGTAGTGTCATTAGCAGTAACGAATTCTCGAAGTTAATAGACACTCTCAATGTTGTAATAATAATTGTTCGTAAAGCAATCTGTCACATTTGATCATGTGTGTTGTATAACTTGCAATATGAAGTGTTGTAAATCTGAACATTGTTGGTTGACATTTCTCGAAACTGATTATACTTCTGATTGTTTTTAATCATTCTCTTTCATCTTCATTCATTCATCGAGAAACCTTTGCAGCTTCGTATTTGTTCTGCGCATTTCGAGGGCGGTGAAAAGAAGGAGGGTGATATCCCTGTGCCCGATCCACAGGTTCTTTTTTTTCGCATCAATTCTTTCATTTTTCATTTATTTGAGTTTCAGCTAGCGCCTCATAAAAGCGCTTTGGTTTTTGTTTTGATTTTCTTCTTTGCGCAAATGAAAATGTTCGGGTTATACTCTTTTTTTTGCTTACAGTAGATCATGTTAACACAGCAATGTGCATTTGGAAACTGTTCTGAAATAGCTTTCGAAGTGATTGCTGAGGAGGAAGTGATCATTCATCAGTTTTAGTTGTTCATCGAAATTTTTCAGTTGTTAGCTGAGCTCTGGTAAAAAATTAGAGTACCAAACCTAATCGATTGGGTTTATTAATTCTTTAGTGTATGATTTGCTTGAAAAAAAAACTGTGAACAATTTCGAATGTCATTTTCATCTTTAAACTATCGGAATATGTGTGAACGAACATTCAACGTTTCACAGTCAGTTGTTTTTCGTAAGTTGCTCTGTAAGCGTCCTCACCACCCCCCAGTGCCTATAATCTCTCGTAAATTTCAGCAAAATTCGCGTTTGTCCTTTTTCTCTACATTTCGTTTCATTTCATCAAAACATTATTCATGATGATAGTTCCCTCTTCAAATTCTTTTTTGAAATCGTATCAACTCACTTATTGACATCACTCCATCCGTCCTTTATTCACTCATTCAAGAAATCACTGCATACCAAATAAACTATCAAGTCCACACCGCTCATAGTGCTTATTTCTAATCGTTACTCTCATATGATCATGCAGTTGAACGCTTGCGTCACTAAACTCAAACGATTAATCATGTATCTTCCTTCCACCTTCCCTCTATAATTACCAATTTTTTGAATCTCTGAATCGATGCTATTCCTGTTGAAGAAATTTTTAAACGGCTACTAGCTATATCCACCATATCGCATATCTATGTATACGATACTTCCTCGAAGCATTTCCCATCCCCTCATTCCCATCTCCCTTCCGACTTCTAAGAAAACAATTCCATACACTCACACATTCACTTCATCCTTGATTTTTTTCGAAAAAAGGCTGAGAGGGCTCTCCAAACTGATGTGAACGAGCATAGAGACTGATTCACTACATATTACTATTTGCTTGTTTTCTTGTTGTCCTACTCGCTTGTTTTGTTCTCGAATTTCCACTACGATTCAGTGAAAATTTTTGGAATTTATCACCTCCTTAATAGGTCGCCCTGGATGAATAGATCATTGAAACATTCGGGAAAATTACATCACCCTGGGTCCTTAAACAAAAAAGAACTGCGGTGTATTATTCTTGTTATCTTTATTCTGCCAATGTTTCGCATTTCACCTTCATCGTTTCCTTCTTTAAGCACAGAATACTTTTTAAAACACAGGTCCATTCTTGTGAACAATTTTATTTTATCAGGACATCTTGCGAGTGAAACTCACCAGTAAATACTTATTCAATTGCTTGATCGAATTGCATATGATTTGGTGAGGAGTAAGGAATTGATTGGTGGAATGGTTTACGAAAATTGTAAATTAAAATCAGTGAGTCTTGATGATCAGCGTAAAATCAGTTTGATTGTTGTAGTTGGACACGCCTATTTCAATATCGTTACCGCCGAAAGAGACAAAAAACGCGGAACGTCGAAAGGCTGCAGCGTGTGCAGCTGCCCGGAGTGCTACTGTGAAAAGTAACAGCTCACGCTCCCAAGAAAGCGGTAGTCGTCACTCGAACCTGAAACGAATTGCACTTAACAGTGCTGCTGCTACTACTACTACTACTGCTACTGGTGCTGGTGCAAATCATCATCACCGTCATCATCTGCTCAACTCCAAGAATAGATTTCTGATCGTTGACGGTTTGTAACTTTTTTGTTTGAATCTGCATTTGTGGATGCGTTTCATGTGCTCATTTGATTGCAACCATGCATGGGACTTGTCTAGCATGAACATTTTACTTTGCAATCTCAATGAGCAGTCAACTAATCGTTTTGCTTTGTACACGGTATTATTAATCGAAATTTGCTGGATGGCTGCAGCGTCGGTATGAAGAACGCAGAAGTGGATGAATCAAAAATGTCAGTGGGCCGGTTCTCGAATGAACCTCTCGCCCTTCAATATCCTTCTACGACAAAGAGCGTTTTATTTTTTCGCAGTTGCTTGTGTCGTTTTAACATCTGTTAAATGCCACGCATTCTTCATTCGCATAATACTTTTCGTTTTGCATTTGCTGAGCATCTTTTGCACAATGAACGACATCATCAGATCATTCTTGCATGATTATCAAAAGTTTGAAAATATCTCTAAGTAATTCACACTCGTACAAGCAATTGTAAGCTTACACTCGGATTCGGTGTTGCTTCAAATCCCTTATATCTCGCAGACCATGTCTCTTACGTTATCACTTATTCTTATAATAGTTACAGTTGATCTCAACATAATAATATGAAAGATAAGATCACTCCTTTGTATTGTTTGGAACAGCTTGAAGAAATGGAACTAGGGACTTTTTGTCACTTTTAATTTTCAAAGGTTCTGCTCGATTGCATTCAGTTCCTAGTGGCTTTCGAATTTTTTTCCCGAAAAACCGTGAGAAATAATATGGACGAAAAATCGAGCGCTAACCGTTCCATTCCGCCTTATTCGTAAACAAACGAAACGTTCTTAACATGCCATGAAAGCAAGATGACGTAAGTTGAGTAAATCAAGCCAATGTTGGATTGTATCGTCGGTGTTTTGATGCGTTCCGTTCGTCAACCGTCACTTTCATTCGCGTTCTACTTATGAATTTTCCTTTCTCAGCTCTATCGCTTCTGAACTTAATGCTTATCGAATGAGCAGTGGCTACAACGTTGATGCATATGATTAATTTATTATAAATACAACGCGCATATTCAACCAAACTCTTCACGGAAGCACAGTCTCTTCGAGATAATCTTTTTCCTTTCGTTTCATTTCACTTTTTTCATCAATACTCTTTTCACTAAATGATTAGCGACAGTATCTATCCATCTATCTCTCTGTTTGAGTGGTTTTAAGCAGCCAGCCAGAGTTCGATGAATAGACGCCAGACGTTTCGTTTCGCTTGAAAGTAGTCGGTTGCCGTTGTCGAATCAATGTTCCTCCCATTGGGCAGCACTTCATAAGTGTAGTTAGGAGGTATTGAAAATTATTCTTCGTATATTCTACAACAACTATGAGTTCATTTATTTTCCCTTAAGCCTCTTATTTGTTTGTGTTCAAACGTTTGCGCGAAACTTATCCATAACACATTTTGAGAATGTCACTTTTTTGCACTCACATTTCTGTATCATTCGGAATTCATCTAGCCGCGAAATTTGTTCATATTTCATACGAGTTTACAGCTCATGTGCATTTTATAAATTTGTTTTATAGAGAGTTTTATGCAATCCACTGCCTACAACATCATCTCTTGGACATACTGCAGGAGACAAATTTTAGAAATTCGAATCGTTTAATACGAATTTAATATGAACAAAGCGCAGTTTCACTGATTTCAACATAATTATGCTGTAGCTGTGCTTCTCACACAGGATGAATGAATACAAAGATTTTGGAAATTGACTGTTTTTGAAATTATTCAATTGGTTTTCAAAGTTCATGTTTGCCAATAGGAAGTTGATTGTTTTGATGATCACAGCAAAAAGTTCTTGATCAATTGTTTGATTTGTTTTTGATGAGTGGATTAGAAGTGCTAAGCTGTTGGTTGCGGGGAGGTGAAGGAATGACGATCAGGAAGATTATCGAATAAGATCTACTGCGTGACCGAGGAGCGCGAGAACTCAAGAATCGCGCTCCTTGAAATTCTAGCAGGTAACAGTTAGCGAACTGTTCTTAACGGTGAAAGATCAAGAGTTGGTCATTGTTAGACAATCAATAATCAGTCGCACTTTTGATGTTTGAAACTTCAGTGAAGTGAACGATACGATAAAGTTAGCGATACATTTTTGTAGCGTCAATGCTGTGAACAAAATGAATGATGGCTGTATGGAAGGGGCAATATGATATGAGATGTTTGATTTTAAAGCGAACGAATGGCTTGCAGAAGAAAGAAGAAGCGTAGTTCGGTGAAATGAGCGGGTGCACGAAAAGAGTAGTGGTCGGTGATTGAGATCTGATTGAGTCGTTGTTCATTCGATTCAATTATTCTCTTTTATGACACAAATGTAGAGTCCGTAGGAGGATGAAAAAGAATGAGAATGGATGACTGAAAAGAAGAGGATTAGATTTGTTTCAACTATGCATTCCTTAGTAGTGCTGTGCGGCGGCGGCGGCGGCATCATCATCACAATAAGTAACAGTTAGCAATAATAGCATTAATAAATAATGGTAGTGCGTATCAAGTGTTTGGGGATGATGCGTGCAAGATGAAGGTTATATATCGCTGCTGCTGCTGTTGCTGCTGCTGCCGCTGCTTGTTGCTGGCACAGTGTCCTATATGAAGGCACTAGTGACTATTAGCCATCATCCATCCATTCATATCCAAATCTCCATCTCAGCATGAGTAGCAGTGAACTGCTCACTGCAATTCGCATCGATATTCTTCGCAGCATCAACAACATTCTTATTCACCTTATGCACTTGTTTCCATTCTCCTTTGCATTTCTTTAGTGGTCGCAAACTGATCGCTCGCAATCGCAAACAATTATTGTTCAGTTAGTTTCATCTTATGTTCGTTCACTTATTATTGCATGTTGCTGTTTGTTACCACTTTCTTTCGATATTTCTTTCCTTCATCCACACCACCATCATTCATCATCATATTTGATTTCGTTCATTTATTTCTTTATTCTTCTTCTTTCTCCTCTTTTTCAAGCTGCATAAAGAAAGATGATGGGTTAGGAGTAAGTGAATTTCTTATTCTTATAGACGATACAATAAATGCAACATACACTTCCATTTCGATAAATTGATTGATAGATTTCACATTCATTACAATAGATATATGCATGCATATGTACATACTGATGCTGCTGCTGCTGCTTCTGTGAATTGATCGCTTCGCTCCAACTCCAGTTGAATCTAATCTCTTCATCCCAATCATCATCATCAGCAGCAATAATGCTACGATCCACTATAATCAGTCGCCTTCAAACGAAAATTTCCTCATGAAGGCACTCAAACCCTATCACTCAGTTCCCGCCAAAGAGACTCATTTAAATCATGTTACAAATGAAAGCAAACAGTATGCCAATGTCATGAAACGAGCTACGCAACGACTTGACGTATATGAAAGTGATTCTGGAATGAACTGAACACCGAGCGATCATCTACTACCGTATAAGGAAAATAAATAACGAAAAGCCCTCTTCAGCATCATTTCTACGAGCAACTAAAGAACTACTCACTAGTAACTTAACGGACTCATATCATTAAATCATTCACGGACGAGTGTCCGTACGTCCCGCCCCAACCAATATAATAGTGTTGAGCTTGCTGGTTTGCGTCTTGATGTGTCTTACGCGTCTCGTCTTGTTTGTTTCACTGACACACGTACTTGCTTGTTTGCTTGCTTGTTTAGTAGTAGTTTTGGTGAGTTGAGAGTTGAATTATTGAAGTGAATGGAATGAGCGAGTTAAATTGAATTGAATGTACGAACGTCGTGGTGTTTGCCGCATATGTATGGCTTTGACGAGTATTATATCAATAGCAACAGCAATAGCAGTAATTGCAATTGAGCAATAGTCATCTAACTGCTGCTGCTAGTGCTAGTGCTAGTGTTGTGTCTCTTCATCTCTTGTTGGCATCTTAGGAGCTGCTCTAGCATCTTAACAATGCTGTGCGAATAAATGAATGAAAAAATGAATGCAGTTGTTGATGTGAATTTATATTCGTATTGTTATTGCAGATTCAAAGCACCATCATCCTGCCCATCAGCAACATCTGCTGAATCAAGATTCGAATCAGCTTCAGGATCCTCTAAATCCAACAACTCTAAATCATCATCAAACAGCTCCAATAAGCCCAACAACTTCTTCATCCACAGCAACTGTTGTCACCACTACTGCGATTACTTCTTCGAATAGTGTTGCAAATACTGTTGACAATAATACCACCAACTGCAATTCGCAACACCAAGCATCCGTTCAGCAGCCACCCAACAGTCGACGTCGTCAGCCATCTACTACTACTGCAGCAGCAGCATCTTCATCCAGCAACAATCACACATCCCACCAGTCCACCACAACCAATAGCACTGTTCTTACCCTCGCTGACCTTCGCACCCATTTCGTCTCCGACATTCTCACCAGTAAGTTTTCATTTATTTTTTCTTATTGCCATCAACATTCATTCATCCATCCATTTGTTTCATTTTTGTGCCGTGTTTCCTCCTCATCCGCATCGCAATCCATCCTTATCCCTCTATCCGTTTTCCCGTTATTATCGAAACGCTCATCCCGCCGTAACATCGCTCCCTCGGCTGACTAATTGTTCTATTTTGTGTTTGTTGTTCAGTGACACTGCTTCAATCAATTAATTTATTCATATTTCATCGTTTCATTTATTCATTGATCGTTCAGTCCATCCAATCGTACTCATTCCGTTCTTCGTCCTGTATTCCTTGCGTTTCCGACTGTTTTCAACTAATCAGCAAATAATATTCATTTTGGTCTTGTGCGCATCATTGCGCAGCCACCATCATCATGCGGGGTAAATCGGGAGCAAAATTTTGCAGTCGAGAATCCCGAGAATGCGGCGGTTCGAGAATTGTTGGGTGTGGGGACGGGGATTCGGGGACAGGATCCCCGAAATTCGCCAATCCCGTAACACACTATCAGAAACGTCTGTACCATATCAATAAGCCAGAGTCGATGTTCTATTCTTTCTCTTGTTGTCTATGTTTCTACTTGCCATATGTTTTTGATGAAAAAGAATCAGCTTTCATCAAGGAGTTCCTCTAATTCCAAAAACTTAATTTATGTTTCATTTGAACGAATCGAACAATCGTTTTCACTTGTTTATTATTGCCATCATTACTATCATTGTATAGTCTGTCATGGTATCTTAAAACATCCGCTTTCAGCCCATCAATTCTTCACTCACCATCAAAATGTTGCACTTTCTCAGAATTATACTCGAATACAGATATTTGCCCAGTTGATGAAAGTTATCGTATAATTTTCATGGGCACTGTTCGCCTATTCATTTGTTCGTGAATTAATATAGTAGGAATTGTCAAATGTAAGAATAGAATAAAATAGCTAGATATTGCTAACCTTTTCTGCCGAATTTGTGGCGTTGAATTTCACTTTGAAATTCGTACCTTTTCATTATGCAACCTCAGGGAATGTCAAGAATTTTTTCTGCATATAATCCCTGAATTAAGTTGTCTCATGAACGGTAAGTTTCGGCTCCCAATGAGGCAGCTTTTTGTGGATTTAAAGAATTGGATACTGGAATCATGCAGATCTCAGAATTTAGTACAAGTGAAGCGAATGATAAACATAGGATAGTTGTGTTAATGGCAACGATGAATTATGATTAAAATATTGTTGAATTGAAATGGTTTCAGTGAGCGGTCGTATGTCAAATGGTGCAAGTGCTCGGCCTTTGGTCGCCTTATTGGATGGCCGAGATTGTTCGATTGAAATGCCCGTGCTGAAAGATGTTGCAACTGTTGCGTTCTGCGATGCACAGTCAACTCATGAGATACACGAAAAGGTTGGTTCGTTGCTATTGTTCGCTTTACAGTTCATTTTTAAAGTATTCCTTCGACTGTTCCTTCTCACATTCATCTAAAAATGTTGCCACTGGTCACAGTCTTTGGTTATTACAATCATTGTTAGTTCTTTCGTTGCTTTTCATGTTTCCACCATCTATCCTATATTATTTGTCGGTTCCTTGACGCACTTGGATTAATTCAAACAATGACTGCTGCCATATTACAATATCGTTCGATAATCGCCTCTTTCATTTATTGCACAATACTTGAATTAGGAATGCAGAAATTGCGTTCTTTATGAGAAATCACCGGAATCAGTTGGTGTCTTGATAAAGTTCTGAAGTTTTGTGTCACAAAAAACGGTCATCCATACTTTCAGATTATTTGAGCGATTATATTGGTGTTAAATTACTTCCCTCACCCTTCTGGTTGTTTGCAAAAAGAAAAACTCGTCGAAATAGCTGAAATTATTATCTAGTGATCATCAAGAATGTGCTTGTTGTATGAGTACACATTAGAAGTAAAATATAGAGAGCAAAGGTATCGTTGGGATGGATACCTTTTTTGAAAGCTGAATGGAGACATTGACAGACATACCTCTGAATGAATTGAATGTACTTATTATGGTGCTTTATTGTCTTCTGTATTAATCTCCTCAAAAATTTGCTTTACTTGAAACAAAACAGTATAATTTTTATATCACAAAAAAAGAAACAAATGGTGCAGATGAGATGACATATAAGTGAACTGCTATGGTTGTAGGTTTGTTGCAGTATTTATCGTGCTGTTATCTCTTTGGGAAATAGTGTTCATTTAT